GACAGCGCCTTAACTTAGGCAATGTGGTGGCAATCTACTAGCAACAGCTATGTTGTTAATTTATTTTAACAATTTTTTTTATGTAAACATGGTTATTTCATCCTCTCCTAAAAATTATATATTATTATTAATAATATAATAAATTAAATGCTTAAAATTCAATTAGAAAACATTAATTTTAAAGTAATTTTAAAAATAAAAACCTTTATGTTTTTTCTAAACATTTTTACAACATTTTTAATCTTTGTCAATAATATTAATATAATATATTAATAATATTCAATAGATATGTAATAAATGAAATTATATTAAATATTACAAATTAAAAAACATTTAATTGAAAAACAATTTTTAACAATTATCTTAAAAAGTTGTTTAATAAATTTATTTATAAATAAATATTATTGTACGTTATAGTTGTTAGTTAGGAGATCAGTTATTTTTGATTTCTTGATTATTAATTTGTATTACAATATATATTTGTGTGATTTAATGCTTTTATCCAGTTTTGTTTATAAACAGAACAACAAAGAGTTTTAACAATATTTCAAAGTCTCATTAGAATTATAAGAATCCAGTGTTCGTTTGATTTTGTCATCGTACATTTGAATTTTCTTGATTTTAAGTTATTATAAAATAGTCGTAATTTTCTATTGTGCAATTAGTTTATATACTCTGATATATAAATTATATTTTCGTAAAAAATGGAAGAAAGTGGTGTTCTTGTTAGGGGAAGAAAAAGAGCAAGAAACGAAAACTTTTGGAAACAAAACAAAAGAAAATTTGATAAAAATATGGTAAGATATAATTTTTCTGTAGTTTATTATTTTTTCTATTACTTTGAGAAAACATTATACTTAAATGAAATACGAAAATAATTTTTTTAGATGATTTTCAAAAAAAAAAAAAATTGAAAAAAAATATTAAATTATTATTTAATAATAAAAAAATTTATTTGTTTAATTAAAATAATTTTGTAAATTTAAATCCCAATATATATAAAATATCTACTGCTTTAAATTAAAAATATTATTTGTTTGAATAATTATATCTAATTCAAACATATTTTCTGTTTTGGTTTCAACAAAAAATACGTTTAAAAATTTTATTTTTGATTTAAAAGTCAATTTTGTAAAATTTAAAATAAACCGTAACTTATGCTTGAATTAAATATATAATTTCTTTAAATGAACGAAATTTATGTGTTTCAATTAAATATAAATTTTTGACTGTATAGCAAAGTTATTTTTAAATTGATTTAAACGAAATTTTTTTGAGTCAAATAAATCGTTTTCTCAGTGTAGAATCACTAAAGGACAAAAAGTCGATTTTTTCATATATTATTAAGCAAATTTGATATTTTTTAAGTTTTTTTTTTACTTTAAAGTTTTCTTTTAACATTTTTGTTATCGTGAATAATAACTTTTATGGAAAACAATTATATTTTTATGTACTTGTTGTAACAGGGAGAAGAATATATTTCGGTTACTGGAAAAGTAATTCCTGCGAAACAATTTCATCCCGTGCAACATTGTTGCCAAAAAAATTGTTTTCAATCTATAGAAGATTCCGAACAAGAAAAATTTTTCACTTCATTTTGGAAAGCTGCTGGTGACTATAAGTCACAAAACATCTTGCTAAGTGGACTAATCACAAGAAAAAATCGAAGTTCGACTAAATCTTTCCAGACCAACGGCAAAATTTTGTGGGAATATTCATTTCATTCCTTATCAAATTATGTCATTGTTTGCCAAAAGTTTTTATGTAATTTGTTAAGCATAAAAATAGGAAGATTTACCACCATACAGAAAAAAATTATCAACGATGAATCGCTTCAAAATAATACGGGGAGACATGTCAATCACGTCATACGATTAACTGACGATTATAAAAAACTAATTCATGAACATTGTTTAAGTATTCCCCATTCTCGATCTCATTACTGCATAGAAAAATCAAAATTATTTTATTTTGAAAATTCGGAATTGACTTTAACTAAATTGCATGCTTTATTTGTTGAATATTATACAAATAGATTTGGGACTGCACCAACAATAAATAAAAAAACTTATTTTAAATATTTTAATAATAATTTAAATTTTTCGTTTGTCAAGCCCAAAACAGATGTTTGCGATTTGTGCTTTAAATACAAATATGTCGTTGAAATTAATGAGGAACTGAACCGACATAAAAAAAATGTTGAGGATCATAAAATTTTGAAAAAAACTATGCTGTCTGAAAATAATGTTTTATGCTTGGAATTTGATTTCGGTCAAAATTTGCCCCTACCAAAACTACCGGTCTCAGATCAGTTCTACAAAAGATTAATTTGGCTGCACATTTTTAATGTCAATGTTTTGGGTGGTCAAAAGCGGAGTTACATGTACAACTTCTTAGAAGGAAATTTAAAAAAGGGGGCCAACACTGTGTGCAATTTTATTTTTGACTCCATTCAGCGTGAACTAAGTTTTAATTGTTATGACAAAATATATTTATTTTCTGACAATTGCGGTGGGCAAAATAAAAAATATTTAATGTTATCATTTTTATCATTACTTTCTAAACAACTTCAAATTGAAATTTGTCATGTATATCCAGTTTGTGGGCATTCATTTTGCTCATGCGATCGAAATTTTGGCATATGTAGCGTGAAGAAAAAGAAATTCGAGATAATCGAAACAGACGATGATTATTTTGAAATAATAAAAACCGCGAAAAATCCGCCATTTATTCTTATTAATGATTCAGAAATAAATGTGCGTGATTTTGAAGTTTTTCTTCCACATGACGTGAGCATTCCTAAAGATGTAAAAATTAGCGAGGCAGTAAAAATAAAATATTTTCCGAATGGAGAATTCGAAATATTTAAAAGTTATGAAGGCACCCCTTTTCAGTACAGATTAACTTCGGATATTCAATTTGAAAAATTGTTAAAAACGGATCGAGCTCCTTCAGTAGGAATTAGTCAGGAAAAAATTAAAGATGTTCAGTCTTTATTTGCGTATTTGAGTCCCAAAGGCAAAATTTTTTTTAATGATTTAATTGGAAAGTCTTCCATCAAATCAGCGAAATGCAATTTAAGCAAACAAAAATCTGTAAAGAAAGTTAGGCAAATTTCAAAAACATCGAAAAGTTATTCAAAGAATACTAAAAATATAAAAACAGTTGTTCCAAAGATAAAAAAGTCATTAAAAAGGCTGTGAAAATGTATAGAAAAACTTTATTAATTATTAATTTAAAAACTTATTTAAACTTAAAAGTTATTGTTTTTAAAATTAATTAATAATACATTAATTTAATGTTACTTACAAACATAATGTATATAGAAAAAAAATATTTATGTTTTCATCAAGTAAAACTTACCAATATTAAATATTGATTGAAATTAGAAACATTTTAAAAATTAAATACTTTGCAAATATTACCAATAAAAAATATTATCTTAATATTTATTACATAATTAAAATGTTATATTAGAACTATTGACAAAGACTAAAAATGTTATAAAAAATATTGTGAAGAACCTTTAAAGGTTTTATTTTCAAAATTATTTTAAAATTAAATATCTTTTAATTTTATTTGTAGTGTTTAAACCCTTTTATTCAAACTAAGTTGAGAAATAATTAATGTTCACATTTGCGTTGAATACAAGTTATAAGTATTAAAAATTTTGCGGAATTGAAAAATTGTAAAAATAAAGAATTTGTTGTAAAATAAAAACATAAGTAGAAACGAAAATAGTATAAATATTGTATTATTTACTGTAATATTATTAATGATAATATTTATTTAACTAATTACATAAAAAGGGAAAATAAAAAATAATGAAATAACCATGTTTACATAAAAAAAATTGTTAAAATAAATTAACAACATAGCTGTTGCTAGTAGATTGCCACCACATTGCCTAAGTTAAGGCGCTGTCCTCGGCGCTGTCTCTTGTGGCGTATGCGTGACGCGGCAGGAAGTTTTTAAAAATTGAATAACTTTGTTATTTTTAAACAAATTTATTTGAAATTTTCAGAAAAACTTCGTTGAATAATATAGAACAACTTTCTCACTGGAAGTTTGTTCAACTTAAAACTTCCCTCGATACTTTTTCTCATCGAAAATAAGATAACCTTATTGCTGACAGGTCATTGTTTATAATAAAAAACAATTAAACAAAAAATAATTTTTAAATGTTTTATGACTTTCTCTTTTTCAGCAGACCCAAATGAGTATGTACAAAAAATTCCGAGCGAATTCATTAACATTTTGCATGCAAAAAGACCGTTTGCATTTTAAAACTTAATTAAATTTCTAAACACAAATTTTTTGGTTTTTATTTTTTAATATGAGAAATATTAGCTCTACAAAAAAAATTCATTGAGAAAAAAGATGTATTTTTTTATTATCTACAAGATGCCGTTCTTTAAAAACCAAAATTTTGAGTTTTTATTTTTCTCACTTTTGACCCGACTGACTGGCTTCACAACATTTCAGCCGAGCGTAAATCGAGTTATTTGATTGACCTCCTCAATTTTTAAAAAATTTGCAGGAGTTGAAAAAATTTTCAAAAAAATTTTATTTTTTAAATTTTTTAGTCAAATTGGTCGATTGCTGCAAACTTTGTATAAATTATAAAAATTTTCAGTTATATATCATTAATCGCAGAATTTAATAATCTTTCGAATGGTATATTTGTTAATTTTCTGACATTTGTATTTACAAAAAAATCGTGATTTAAAGATTGGTATGTTTTTGGGCCGTGTGCGTGCAGCCGTACCGATAATTTCCGACGGTAGTGTACATTTATTTATTTTGTTGTTAAAGATCTTTCTGACTCATTTTTATTAATGAAAGTCAAATGAACGTAAAAAATATCTCAAAATTAAAAAAAGAAATAAAAGAAAATCAGTTGAAATATCAACTATGTTGCCTCTGATTATTGTCCTTATAAAAAATAATAACACTTCGCTAACTGTTTATTACAATTAGATTTTGTTTTTTGTTTTCAGTTTATCCGTGAAGAAATTTTTGTCATTGTAAGAGAAGACAACTTTCAATTTTATGAAGCTGGTGTGAATATGTCGCAATATTCAAAATTAGAAATGATGAAGACTGTAGTAAACATTACAACTTCTTTGTCATACTTATTCTCATATTATGTTTTTCTTTCAAAACATAATTCTAAATAAATAAATTACCGCTTAATACCAATAATAACTTCGACATGCAGTTTTCACAACTTTATGAGCTTATTTTAAGATTGATGATAATCATTATAGCATCTGATTCAGCTGTGGGGATTGATCATACTCTTGAGTTTCAGGATAATGGTAAGATGATATGTATTTCTTACATAATTTTAAAACTAAACATTTATTGATACAATTTTTTAGGAAACTATATTTTATAAACTACAAAGAAACTCAAAGCATTGTTGTAATTTCAACGATCATAGGACTATAGACTTACAAGATATATTAACACACGCTTTTAAGGAGGAACCAGGCACACATTAAAAATTCACAGAAATTTCTGATATTTTGCAAAATGATGTATTTTGATGTAATAAATAAGTATAAAAAATCGCAAGTGCAAGGCAAAGGAAACTCAAACTCACATAAATGCTTACACGACAAACAGTTACACAAAAAATTATATAAGGACTCACGTTTCGATTTACAAAGTTTACAATACGAGTTTACATCAAAACGATAGATTTTGTTCTTTTCGTTTAACCCTGCCTAAATAACAATACATTTCCCATTTAATTAACATGGGATTTTTGCACTTTTTAGAAAAAAAATTTTATTTCGTTTATAATACTCTTTGACTAACCAACAATGCTTGATTTTGCTTCTATTATGATTCCTTTAGATAGAGAAATTTTCATATTATCGCGAAAAATTTATTACACAAGTTTTAAAAAGGTCCATTTCATTTTTAATGATTCTTCTGATTATTTTGCTAAATCTACTTATTAATTCATTTTTATTCGGTATTTCATTAAATGTTTCTTGTTTTATGCATCCAATTGGACCATAACAATAATTTCAATTCATAAACTAATCAAGAATCACACAGTAGACTGAATCCATTTCAAATCAGGCATGTCGACTAACTTCATGTTATAGAAACAAAATTATTTTCCTTGTCATTTTTTTTCTTTTGAGTATAATTTAATCACAGTCGGTCCACTCAATGCAATTTTCAATAACATTTAGCGTCCCCGCGAGAGCCACCTGGTTGAGGTATTTTTACTAATTTTCCCCTTGTCATTCAAAAATTATTTTTAAATTTCTTGAATTGTAACTATTTAATTAGATCAAAAAACGAATAAAAAGACAATTAAATAATTTATAAAATGAATTATATAATTCTATAATAATGAATACAAGATTAAACAATAATTTTTCTGGTAAAAGTAATTTATTTATTTATTTAATATTCCTTGACAATATAAATTGTACCTAATTTAAAAAAAACTAAATAAATTTGTCAAGTTTTGCATAAAGTATCATTAATGAAGAAAACTATTAAAAATGTATAATGACAATTATAAATTTTCATAAATTAACTAATAAAGAATTAATGAAATTAATAACAAATATACAAAATTAAATTCATCAAGAGTCATTATAAATTTGGAATTATAAAATTGTCTAGTATAACAATTATTTCTAATTTTCTCATAAAATGTATATACAATTTTTTGAAATTATATAATTATTTTCGTTGCACGTTGGTGGTTTTTTCCGGTAAATTTCACTTTAAAACTTAAACCTCGGGTCTTTTTCTGGAAATAATAATATACCTATATTAATAAAATATTTTATAAATAGTTTAAAATTTGTATTAATTTAAATTCACTGGATACGAACTGATTTTGAACTGCTTCCTTGAATTTTTTAGAAGCTAAGTAATGTTCGTATGCTTTGCGTTATATACGGTTGCAGTTTTTTATAATATTGCGACCTGACAAAATTCCATTTATGTGAAGGCACGTAGAATACAGTTTAATATTACGCATTCATTAAATCTTTTAGGAATTAATGATCGATGCTCTTGACAGGTGATCCATTCAAAATCTATTTTTAAACGCAAATAGTCAAAAAGTGTTTCCCGTAAATTATGTAACCATGCCATCCTAGGAAGAAGATTATTCACAACATTCACTGCTGTAGTAAACCCACGTTTAAAATAATCAGCAGCTGCGACATTTATTACTTCCAAATTGTTTTCATTTAAAAGACTAGCGAATTCATTTCTTCTGTCACAGAAAAATACATTTTTGCATTGAGCACAATTTAGATTTTTTAATGATGTAAGAATAGACCTAGCTAGTTCTCCTGCTGATTTTATTCTAGTTGCGATTCGTAATGGTGACCAACTTTCCCGAAATGATTCTTGTGGATGAATTGCTTCGTCGAACTCAGATAATCGATTACCATTGGCTTCTGTGTTTAAATTTTCGTGTTAAATCAAAATATCCAAAGAGGCTAAAGGTGTCGCATTGTCATTTAAGCAATTTGCTCCAATAGAGTGTTTGGAGGTAAGGTTTGAAATTAACAGGGCTTTATAAAATCCCTCAGTTTGGAAGCAAGTTGGAGTAATATTTCGACCCCTACTACTCCTAATACTTCCAAAGAAATTTCCAATGGGATCTTGATTAATATGACCAGTTTTCATACATTCAAAGCCCTTGGTTTTCAAAATCTTCCATAATTCTGAAAAACCTTCCAAATTGTACATCCAGTTAATGAATGATGGAGGATAGGATTAAGGAATCTTATCCGTTTTTGAAACATAACGCATACTACGCATTTTACGTAATGCGTTCTTCCAAAATTCAAAATGTGGACTCGTATCAGTGACCACTTGCATTAAAGGCTTTTCTTTGACAATAGGATCATTTTCATTTTTCCTGGCATTACAAGAATCGAATCTTTGGTCCGCAAAATCTGCATAGCTAGCAGTGTGTATGGCGCATGGTTCCATTTGCATTGGTCCTTCAAATATATTTATTGGTCCTGTAAAACATAATCACAATTCTGCCAACTTTTTACATTAAAAATAACAATAATTAATAATTAATTAAAAATATCGTAAATAAAATATCACTATTCACAAATATAAATAATAAATATGGTCACTCTTCACATCCATCTCATAAGCCATCTCATATTCCATCAGCGATTAGGTGGATTTCATTTTTTTATAATTTACTTGGTTCAATGCCATTACGAAGACAATTTCCAACATATTCAGTTCGCAATTCTTTAATTGCCTTTACGTTGGAGGTTCCTTGGTCGCACACCGTAACTACAAGTTCCAACCCAGAGTCTTTAATAAATTTGACGTTCTCTTTAATACATGCCATTAATTGTACATAAGTGGTTTGAGAATTACAAAAATAGTAAGAAAGAGAGAGTTTAGTGTTTTCTAACAACGTTCGAACCATGAAAACTAGCACATGATCAGCAAAATTACTATTCCTTTTATTTCCAAAATCTTTAAACCCTATTATCCTATCTTTTTTGTAATTATACCACAGATGTGCTTTAAGATGTGCCTCATTCCAGATTAAAAGTGATGTTTTTTCTTTCTCATCTTTCATACTACCCACAGCATCATTTAAAATATCTCCAATATTAGTATTGATTCCCGTATCTAATTCCCCACATAGCACCATATTTTGCGGGAAGCTAACGGGAAACTAACCATGTTAGCTTCCCTTGGCCTATAAATGTCCTACGCTTTTTAGTTTTCCGTGTTAGCTTGCAGAAAGTTATCTAAGAAACTTTTCTGAAAACAAGTAGAGAAAAGTTCTTTAAAACTATCTCAGGTAAGTATCTGTAAGCATTAGAAGTTAGTTTCTAGTAAGCGTCATAAGGTAAGTAATATAATATAAATTGATATTATACAAATAATCATTTACGGTATTTCCGTAATTATCTATTTCATTTTCACTTAAACTTATTTAATATTTCAGTTTACTTAAAGCTAAAAAAATTGTATTTATAAATTTAATAAAAATATAAAATAAAAAATATTTCTCTCTATAATTTATTTATTGCCGCGAACTGATTACTTATTTATTCCTCAATATCAATATTATATTATTGAAGAATAATTTTGAAAATAAATTTGGAGGGACTGTGGGTAGAACCCGGGTTCACAACGCAGAAAGAAACAACCTAACCAACTAACCTAATCAACCATGTGTAGGGAAGAATATTTCGGGTCCTTTTAAGCTTCAAGTGATCTCATTGGTTGGCGTCACTAATGGCGGGATAATTTAAAAAAGGATTCACAAAGATAATTGAATTTTCTCATTACAATAAATAATTTAATTTCTAATATTATTTATTAGTTAAATCTTCAAAAAATAAGAATAAATAAATTATTAAAAATGAAAATATTAAATTAGAAAGTTAATAGATAAGCATTAAACTAAACTTTTGTTACGTACAAGGTACTTAACAGCTAATATTATTTTAATTATTATCGTTTGATAAAGCTACAAAACATAGGACAGAAATAGTAAAACATGTTTATTATTAAATACTTTATAAACTGTTTATAAATTAGATGCATAAATTTATGAACAGTATTAATTCTAAAATTTTTATATAATAAATGAAACCTACATTTGAAAATAATCAAAAGTAATGCATTTCACACATGGATTGAGACGACCAGGGTGTATACGTGCACATCCACTGATTCCGATGGCTACAAGATCTAACACGACCACACCCTTGAGTTCTTCGCGTTACGGGCACACATACAAGCATGCTACACATGCCTCTGCTCATTGCCTTGTCTCTCCTATTGTCTTTTCTTGTCTCTCCTTCCTTTTTCCCCTTTGGGCCTACAAACTTAGGGACTAGAATATCATAACAAATGCACATGCATTTGGAGGCTGACTCAACGCTTTATGAAGCGTATATATTTTATTCGTTTTATGCACTATTCCAAATTTACAGAAAATAATTTGATAATAGCTAAACATTTTATTGTAACTTATTATTAACAATAAAATGCCGGAGGACTGTAAGTTGCATGTATATGTGTATATGTATAATTATGAATGCAAAGTACATATACTAGTAACTTATAAAATGTAGGATCAATATAACGTTATTTATACAACTTATATTAAACACTTATAACTATTAATAAATTATAATTATAAATAAAAAATTCTTTCTTTACAATATAATTATAATTTATATATTTAGTTGTAAAAATAGTTTCTAAAAAGTATCAAATTAACAACGCCGTTTCCGTTCTCACGAAAACTGCATGCAATCAGAAAAGTCAGCATAAT